GACACAACTGTGATAGCTATCCCATTTTAATAGTATATACAGCTTATAAATTGATATAGGCCAAGATGTGTTTTGTGTGGTTATTTTAAACTGTAAGTTCCAGTGGTATGTTGGAGCTAATTTATACTAGCTTGTTAAAGTTGACTATTATCCCTTCCCAATATCATCTTCATTGTCATCAAGCTAGTATCTTGAAATTTGATATCATTGGACTACAAGAATTATTGTCACAATTCAGGGCTTTGTTGTACCTCATCTTCAGACTCTGAAGGCAGTTATTAAACATTTATTACTATACTATGCATTGTTGTGATGGTTAATGTTCATCTTTACTTGGCTATATGTAGAATCACCAAGACATACATACACTTGTGGCCATGTCTATGTAGGTTTAAGTTGAAGAGAGATATACCTTGAATATGGTTGGTACCATCCCATGAGTGATTAAAGCCCTGTTGTACAAGCATGAGGATCAGAGTCTGGATACTCAGAACCCATGTAAAAGACGTATGGGTATTCAGAATGTAGAAAAAGGATCAGTGGAACAAGTTGACTAGCCAGATCATCTGTGTATCAGCACGCTCTGGGCTCAGTTGAGAGTCCCTATCTCAATATATAAGGTAGAGAGAGAGTGATCAAAGAAGACTGTTTGCATCAACTCCATGTCTCTGTACATATATGCTCATACACATGAACACATACTACACACACATATACATGGAAAAAAGAAATAGAGAAAATCAGATGAGCACTTAAATTCTCTTCACTCTGCTTCTTGATACACTTCCTACCACAATTGATTGTATCTGCCATACACTCCCTACCATAATCAATTGTATCTGCCAAACTCTAAACCAAAATAAATCTTTCATCCTTAGGTTGCCGATAAAGGCAACCTAAATACATGTTATTAAATACATGATAAAATGTATCTAGTCACAGCAATGAGACAAATAGCTGATTCAACTTACAACTAATATCATCCATTCATCCACTGAACTGATAATAAAATTCAGTAAAGAAGTTGTTATTTCTGATTTAACTTTTTTTACATTTATTGTTTATTTGCATATGTGTACATATATGTACAAACACATACCATGGCATACAAGTGGAGATCAAAGGACATCTCGCAGGGATTAATACTTTCCTTTCAGCACGTGTCCCAAGGATTGAACTCAAGTTGTCAGCAATGTGGCAAGAACCTCTACTTATTGAGCAACCTCTACAGTCTCCAATTCTGATATTCATATAAAAAAAATGTAAGTTTCATTTCTAGGTTTTCAGTATAGAGCTAAAACTTTGGGGGAAATTTCATAAGGCATATATGGCCAGCAAGATCCAGGGATTTATGTGTTTTCACATCCTTAGCATTAGACTTCTAAGCACACATCACCATACTAGGCTTTTTACTTGGCTTCTAGCATCCAGACAAGGTATTTATGCTTGTATGGCAAGCACTTTACCAATTCACTTTATCAGCCCCAAGAATTAAAACTTTTTCACTGGCCTGGGTATCTTCCTATATTCAACAGGTCATGGAGTCTATGTGTTTTTGAGTTTGGAAAGCACTTACATGCCAACCTCTCACAATTCATGGACAATTCATGGTCTTAATTATGACCTTAAAATAAATGCATTCTTCTTGGAATATATATATATATATTACATTTTATAAAAACCCAAACAAAGAAGTAACCATAGAAGAACAAACAACTCTGATAAAAAAACAAAAATTAAGATGTGAGAAATATGAATATAACTTCAAAGGATAAGTTACCAGAGAAAGTTTCACAGTGCTACTAACTTTCTGGCTTATAGTGAACACTAATGTATTGTTAACTCTTAGTTGGTAGGATTTAAAGAAATGGTATGGGTTGTCTGGGAGTATACCACAGCTGAAACCAAGAGGCATTTCTACTTTTTGCCCTTCCCCCTCTTCCATTTTAACCAAACAATTGTAACACCGTGTCTCTGCTATAATCTATAGATAATGAGTCAACACACTTTTTTTCAGTAAAGGGCCAGATAACAAATCTTCAGATTCTATGGGTCATAAGATCTCTTTTACAACTACTCAACCCTGGCATAGAAGCATGAAAACATCCATAGATAATACAGAAATGAATAAATGCTATGACTGCATGCCCATAAAACTTTAAAAAAACAGACAGCCTACTAGATTTGGCATGCACGAGCTCTGGCTTGTTGACTCCTTGTCTAGACAGCAAAAGGTTGTGGGAGTATTACTCTTTCTTGAGAAATGCTACTGTATGTATAAGGCAATGTTTGTGAAACTAGAGCTAGGGATGGACATGGGAGTTAGAATCACCCATCATCCATGTGTTCTCTTTGTATATTTTAAATAGAAGATTTAGATGTTCCATGGTCAGTAGGAATTTTAATATTATTATAACTACTGTACATCATTCTATTACTTAAATATGTCAAAAAAGTGTCTACTTCTCAATCTATGTCCATTGTCTTATGGAAGCATGTCTTAAAATTATTTGTTTTGGTTCCATTTGTTTGGCCTTGTTTTTGAGATAGTCCAGATTGGCAAGAAACTTGGGATCTTCTTGCTTCAGGCTCTAGAGCTCTAGGATGATAAGTGTAATTTTCATGCCAGCTGAACAGCATACTTAAATGAACAGAAATCAAGTACAACAAGGTCAAAACTAGTTCTTTCTGAGACAATTTTCAACCATTAGATTAGAAATAATAGACATTTTCCCAATAAAGTATATCATTATTCAGTATGTACCTAAGTACCTCTACTATCCTATTCAAGAGAACTGGAGGCCCAATGAAAAGGGATTGGAAAGAGGGAAGTGAAAAAGTCCTCTCTGAGTTCCAAATAGTGATGATTCCCCAAGTGACAAGTGTAGTTACTAATTGCAAGGTAAATATACCAGAGCACAGAGTAGAACCAACTTTTTTGTACTTGCCTGAGTTTTTAGTCATATCTCTCACACAGGTTCTATATGCCTGTACATATTGCCTTGCTTTTCATGAAAGAAGGTATAACCCTTCTCTCTACACCAGTAGTTCTCAACCTTCCTAACGCTCTGACCCTTTAATACAGTTCCTCATGCTGTGGTGACCCCCAACCATAAAATTATTTGTGTTGCTACTTCATAACTCTGATTTTGCTACTGTTATGAATTGTAATCCACATATCTGATACGAAACCCCTGAGAAAGGGTCATTCGACCTCTAAAGGGGTCTCAACCCACCGGTTGAGAACCGCTACTCTACATAGTCCTATATCTGAAGCAGCGACTCCCAAGCAGGTAACAACTGAGAGATTGTTGAAAATTTCAGATGAGTTTACACTGCCAAAGTCAGACATTCTGTGCAAGAAGTCATCTGTCCCTCCCTGCAGGAAGTGCCTCAGTAAGCTCTTATTACAGTTGGGAATGTGGTTTATCAGTGGGTTGGGAAAGAAACAAATGGTTAAAAAATTGCTGACGGGAAATAGCTTGATAAATGAATGTGTTCATGAATATAGATGATAAAAGACAGGGCAGGATTTATGCATGTATCCAGGCAGACAGTTTAGAAAGTTTAGTAGGCTCATTAAATAATTATAGTACAATGAATATATCAAGCTACTAATTCATTTACTTTTGCCTTTTGTATTTTTGCTGTAAAATGCAGAAAAACAAGACTGACAGCTTTTAGAGCATCCCTTTGAAGGTCATTGTAAAAGCACCACTATTTTGCTCTGTTAAGCCTTCCTCCTTATAACTCATTTTGAGCCAAGTTCCTTGTTCACAAGGCATCTAAATAGAAGGGGAATAAGATCCATATGCAAAAGTGTTCAAAGGGGATGATGACAAGTTTCCAAAAATAAATGCAGTGTGCCAGGGTTACTCAGACATGAGAGAGATGGCATCAGGCCGGAGCAGGGCTTCAGGGAAGTTATTCATCTGCAGACCACTCAGTTCTTTTCCCAGAGAAAAGAGAATTTCCTTGTGCTTTAGATAAGTTAGACCCTGATGTTTGGTGCTACTACTATTTCAAAAGATATTACTTTTCTTTTAATGTATGACTTAAGTATGTTCTTTGGTTTTGTTTGTTTTCACGATAATCTAGCTATGTAATTCACATTAGCCTTGGACTTGTGATCTCTCTGCCTCAGTCTCTGGCATACTGGGATTACAGTTGTGTGCCAGCACATCTGGCTTGTCACAAATTTATCTGTCAAAAATTTAATTCTATGCATTATACTTACTGTTTGTGTCGATGCTACGGGAATGTGAATGTGTGCATATGTGTGCCGTAGCATGTATGTAGAGTTTGGAAGCCAGCTTTTCAGAATCTGTTCTCCCCTTCTACAATAGGTTCTGAGGAGCCAACATAAGTCCTTGGCTAGCGCCGAAAGCATTTTTATACATGGACTAATCTCTCCAGTCCTCAGTTTTTTCTTAAAGGTTCCATTGCATCATTGCAGAGTCAAAGATTTCTCTATTGGAGTATTATTTTCCCCAAAACAATAGACATCAGTTTGAAGGAAAATTGTGTTTAAGGGTTAATGTGTTCTCTCAGTTTTTTTCAACTATCTAATCCCTGTGGTATCGTTTGGAATTTTGGCGAAAAAGTTAGGGAGAAGATCAGTTCCTCACCTGGCATTCAGCAGGTAAGGAAATGAGCCATAGAAATGCAGTTTAAAAGTGGGTGTAGACACAAGTGCACGTACACACACACACACACACACACACACACACACACACACACACACACACACACACGACGGGGGAAGAAAGAGAGAGAGAGAGAGAGGGCGCTGACATGGCAGCTGGGAGGTGGGAGGTGAGAGAGAGAAAGCTCAGTGCCCGCTGAGCTGAGCTGGTTTCTACTTCAAGTGCCTGCATGTCAGAGGCTGAGATTGAAGCCTCCAGCCTCCAGCGGAGTTGGAGTTAATTCCCATTACATTGGACTCCGCCCCTCTCTCCCAAAGGTAAAGCTAGGTTTGCAGGCATCACTGCAAAGAGCAACTGGGATTCCCATCCCTGTCTGACAAGCTGTGAGGAGAAGTTTTTTTTTTTCTTTTTTCTTTCTTTCTTCTCAAATCTGAATCAGAAGAAAGGGAGCAAGTCAATCAGCCTTCATGGTTAGAAGGTAAATATGCATCTTGGCCAAATGCAACTGAAGCAGCTGAACAGAAAACCCCGCTTTGCTCCCCCTTGCTCAGCCCTTCTTCTTCTGCCGCTTCCTTGCTTAGGCTTCCTGTCCTTTCATGACAAAGCGCAGCAGAGAAGCTGCTTTTCTTCGCAAGGGCAGCCTGGTGTATTTTTACTTTCCCATAGTTGGTTGTTTGCACAGTCTACGAGGGATCAGTGCTGGATTCCTATTTCATATAGACAAGGTTTGAAGGCCTAAGGGTTAAGAGCTAGCTGCTTTCCCCCAAGGGAGTTGGTAACCTGAGGAGAGGAAAGGCAGACTTTCTCTGGGAGTAGAGGGAGGGATTTTGTTCTGACTTGTCCATCCAAGTAAAAATGGATCTGATTTCCCAATGTGGTAGGGCAATGTCTTAGACTTGCTGCAATTGAAATTATGGGACTGAAACAATAATCAGGTTAAACTGAAATACAGATGTTGAAACCAGTAGAGCTGGAGTTAAATAATGGCATTCATTCAGAAAATGTTTATGAGTTCCTACTGTGTGCCAAGTGTGATGATTTACAAGGAAGCTGAAAGAAGTTAACTGTTAATCCATGCTAACAAAGAGCACTCAGCCAAATGGTTTCATTTTATAGTGGGAAAGGAAAAGTTGAGAAGCCCAGGAGCAACAACTGTCAGAAAGGTTTCAATGAGAGAGGGTGAGGGGAAGGTAGAGGAGACTTTCTTCTTCTGAGTAATATCAAGTTTCTCTAGTATGAAACAATGCTGTCTTCCTTGGTAGCACAAAGGATGGTTAATACCTACCCTCGTATCAGCTATACCATGAATGTTATGCTTCACCTGAACTTTGTGCCATTATTTCCAGTATACATGAAACAGAAACTCGGAGGTTTGAAGTGATTTCCCCCATATTCACATCACTTTTAAGAGGCAAAGTTCAGGTGTCTGCATCAAATTTGACTCCAAAATTTCATTCATTTCCACTAACAGAGTATTCCTCAGTCATGAGTTCCCATCAGAATAAACTGAGGATTTAAAAAATGGCAAATTCTCATTAACTTAAATTCAGTGAATCTTGGAGAGAGAGAGAATTCAAATTTTCTACTTTGAAAGAGCATCTAGAATGATTCTGATGCAGGGGAGTTGGTGCTCCCTAATATCAGGAACGTTTTTTGATGTGCCAGGTTGCATGCCAACTCTGAACTGATTGGAAAAGCATTTAGCCTGCCTTCTTTTCAGCTGTGGTGGCATTTTATTCTATCTGAGGACATGGAATAGAAGGTTCATTGTACAGTAATACCAGGTTGCAGTTATGAACCTAAAGGTGAAGATGAACACATGCTTTGCTAGTCATTCCATTGTGACTAGGGTTTAAATCGAAAGAGCAACTGAGGGCAGTTTTGAACTAGCTGCTAGTGTGAGAAAGATTCCCATGCAACCAACTGATCATTGAAGATGGGGTACTGGTCTGTCCAGCTAGATTCCTTGCTGGTTCATAATGCATTAGACAGATGGGTGCTCAGGAAATAGATTTCAGAGTCAAGAGAAGCTCATGTGAAATTTGGGGAAATCATCCTAGCACTCACATTTTCAACCTCAAGCTCTTGAGAAAAAGAATGGCTTAGTATTTAATGTGCAGTTTTTCTGTTTGTTTGTTTGTTTGTGAACTCTCCCCACCTCTGCATGGCTAACTCTATTATTTAGAGGTGACCTTCTAGGTTTTTGATTAAGCTGGTTGAGTGCACTGCAAAGGTTCAGAGGGCATGGCTGTATCAGAAAAAACACCTCAAATTTCCAGATTTTTTTTATTGCTCAGGTGGTTCTCTGTATCCATTTACTCTCTTGCTTCTGGATTTCGTCTCAAATTTTCTCATAAAGATCTGTACCTAAGGATGATGATATATAAACAAAGCAAACTAAGCCAACATGGCTGGTTTTGCAACTCTTTCTATGTGAGAGAAAAAGAAAGGGAATGGGTGAGGCAGGAGGCCTGGAGGAAGTTTCAGCAATCTTGAAAACTGAGGTCAAAAATAGTGAGATGTTCTTAGAGTCAGAAAGGTACACATAGAAAATAAAGCCCACTAGGTGACATCATTTTGAGAGTGAAGCAGTTGTTATTGTGGAAGAGAAACTTCTAAGAATGTAGGTGACAGAAAAGGTATTCAGGAAATGATGAGACATGGTAGATTTATTTTTGAGGGCATGTTTAAATGAGAAAGTTCTAGGAGGTGTAGACTCGCTATAAACTCAGCCTGATACAAGAGAGCTTTACCTATTAGACACATATTTCTGCACATCGTACTCATTTCCCACAAATGTGTCAACACCGAAGAAGATGTACATGTAGCAGGATTGGCAGGTAGGCAGTACACACTGCCTAGGAGCTGAGGAGAAAGATTTCTCCATATTGCTTTTCTCACACTAATGCAAATAAACCTACTTCTCATACAAGCAGGCTTGCAGCCATTATTGCCTCAGCACCTGCAGCTCAGAGTTTCTTTTGTGTGAATCCTGTTGCCCTTAGGAACTGTTTTATTTATTTTTAACTCAGAGTTTATACAATGGGCTCCAGTGGGAATGAAAAGATTTTTGTGCCTTTCTATCAAGACTGGAAAAGAGATGAGATGGGTGAAGATACAGCCTTACCTTTTCCACTATGCAAAATATAAGCACAAAATGCTTCTAGTTTAGTTGATATTAAGTGATCACATTATAGTAGATACATATGATAGCAGAAAATAAGAAAAAATGTATGATAATGGTTGCTATAGAGATAGGGAGAGGACTCATTTTGACGGATGGAAAAACATATTAATAAAAGAACACGTCATGTCAAAGTGAATGCTCTACCTGTCAATGCTTGGCCAATGGAAGCACTGTGGTGATGTCTGGATTTCTAAAATGCAGTGTGTCTGTATGGCTAGGTACTTCAGGACAGGGAAAGAGAGTTATTGCATATAGGAAGCATGTGGGCCATTAGGATACAATGAAGAGTGGCATTGTTTGTGATATTTATTGAAGTGAGAATAAAATGACTTAACCAGCTTCTGGGAATGAACTTGGATTGCTTTAGACGGCTGTCATAAAGAAGATTATCCTGTTACAGGTGATGTAACCAAAATTAGTTGCTAAACTGTGCTTCCCTGCTCAACAACTGGGAACATGTAGCAATGTGGGTATACATACTCCACACACACTTCTGATTCTCTGTGCAGCTATGGGAAATCTTGGCCCACTTTTATTAAGTGCACCAGAAATAATCAGCAACCAAACCCTTGCAACCTAGGCATTGATCTGATAAGGTCAAGAGTCCATGATTCAGACAGGCATGAGGCAAAATGTATACATTTTATCTTTCCAGTGTTAAATTTTGTGGTCAGTTTAAACTTCATATCATTGGAGTCATGAAGAGAGCTCAATAGAGGGTTATTGGTGGCCGTGATTCTCAGCCTGCTGCCCATTGATGATGCCGACTTACTACATCTCTAATTATAAATATGGTAACTGTCTCATCCCAAGTGATTTGGGAGTTGTCTGAATTTGTCACAGACAATCCCACATTGCAGAAAACGCTTCAGTCCCAGACAGCTTTTGTTGCTCACATAAGTCTTAATGGAAATGAGGAAATTTGTTTTTTCCAAAGTTTGAAGTACTTAATTTAAATTCTAAAAGACAATGAGTTTTCTTTAGCTAAATACATTTGTACTAAAATTTAAGGTTCTGACTTCCTACATCTTGACTTCACATTTCCACTTTTGAAATGAAATCGTGGTGGCAATGTTTGGTAGTGTTACATTTCAATTAGCATCATTATTTTTCACAGATGAGGTAAGGTTTACATTATAATCTCCTCACCCCCATCTTTTTGTATATATCTGCGTAGCCCAGGATGGCCTTAAACTCTCAATCCCCTTGCCTTACCATCTCCAGTGCTTGTGAGTTTAGGTATGGACTATTATGCTAGGTTTCTCTTCTAACACAGTCTAACCATTACTGATGCTACTGTCTTCTTCTGCTTTATATTCTCTGCCATTCTTACTAGTTGTCATGCTGGAACTTTTTAATCTCAAGGTAAAGATGTTGATGGGAGACATTAGTTCAGACTACAAGTGCTGGGCTTGAAGAAGCCAACATTCTTGTTATATACTATGTCTTGGGAAATGGACATTCCTCTTAACTTCTCTGTTTTGCTTTGTAATTCTTCCCCCATTCTGAATTACTTTTGTGGATATGACACCATGGAGGCCTTTAAGTGTAATAATACAGGATGATGCTATAATTCCATCAGGGTAACACTGTGCAAGAAGAGAAGGTTGTAGGTAGAAGAGTACGAAATGATAACTTTGTTACTGAATTTCTGTGAATCCTTGTGAAAATCATTTGTCTTTCTGACCCTCAGTTTGCCTATTTATAATTGGAGGCCTAATGCTTACAAACCTGAGATTTCTGAGCACAGCAAATGAAATAATGGGTCCAGAATAGGTATTGATGATGCTGCCAGCAGCTGCTTACTAGCTTTCTCTTTCTCCGCATCTGCAGTAGGCAAGAAGTCCACTGTGGAGCACTGATGGTGCTTTTCATATTCTCACACACTCCAACATTAACAAGCAGAGGCATTACCTCATTGTGGTAAAGGATACCTGCCTTATAAAAGCAATTACTCAAACCAGTTCCACTCTTTCCCCTGTTGGCCTTCAATCCCTCACCACATCTTTCTTTCATTTTCCCAACTCTCAGGCAGAAAGCCTCATCCTCAGGGGACCAGATCGTGGTACTTTCTTTTCAAACCTTAACATTCCAATGTAAGCACCTGCAATTTATGGTCTCGGTTCCCTTCCTGCCCAAAACACACAGCACAAAACACATATGCATCAAGAAGGGAATCATGATGGAGTGAAAAGACAGCACAATACTGGGAAACCAATAACTGGACCCTAGTTTGTCCTGTGTACCCCACCAGCTTTTAATTCTTGGTTAAAGAACTTCCTCCACACACTCACATCTGTAAAAATGATAGGGGGAGGGCAGGTTAGCACCTGAGTGGTCCCCAAACTCTGGAGTAGTAATCTGCAGATCAAGTTTCTGGTTCCAGTGTGTCTGGTTACTAACTGTGACTGGAAAAAAAATCACTTCCTGGTTTGCTTAGCCAAACTCACCCATATGTAAAGCAAGAAGGCTGAATTAGGTGATTCATTAAAGTCTCTACCAGTCTGGGAATTGAATGTTTTTTTAAAAGAAGTTCATTAAACAAACATGAATTGTAATGCCTACCCTGTGCCAAGCACTATTTGATGATGCTTGTAAAATCACATACAGCTAGATCCTGAGACCACCAAATACAGGTCATGCTTGCTCCTGTTGATCTCCCAAACTGGCATTATGATGGCTTCATACAATTAGTCTCTACACTCCTCGTGCTTTGGGCCCCTCTTTCCAATATCACTACTTAAAATTCTAAGCAGTAGTGATGAATCAGAGAGAAGTTTCTGAAACATTCCACCATCTGCCTGCTAGAGACATTTACAATGCTTTCATCAAGCTACAGTGTGGTCTCTAGCTGCATTAGTAAAGAAACTAGCCAGAAAGCAATGGCAGGTTAATGGAGTGGAAAGGAAGTGGTTGATTTTTGACAGCAGAGTCTGGGAAAGCCATTTGTGAGCTGGGCTGAAGCTACTAGCACTGGAAAGGCAGTATCCTGAATCTGAGATTTCTTGTTCCAAAGGGGATCTTGAAAGGCCCACGCAGCTCTGTATATGTTCCTTCTCCAGAGAAAGCCTGATCTTTCTATGTTTCTGGAAGATGAGAAACTTTCTTAGCTGGACCCAGCAAAGGATGTGGACGAATTTTCTTGGTAGTTGGAGTCTAGGCATAAGCGCAGAGTCTAGGCATAAGGCATAAGTTAGCAAGTAGCCCTTCAGTTTGTGTGTGGGCAGTGACCCAGTAATAAATAAACAATAAAAAACTAAGCAACTTTTATTTTATCGTACCAGTTTCACTTTGAGATTTCTGTTGGACACGCTAAGTCAAAATGAAACATTTTACACTGCCTTCTTACCTCTAACATAGGGGCAGACCTGTGACTTGTATTCCTCTTTATTTTCTGAACAACTGTGTCACAATGTCATTTAACTGGAATCCCCAGGGAATCTTGGGATAGCCTAACTCTCAGATTTTCTTTTCATGATTGGTTCCATATTGTGTGTCAAGAGTAATAAGACAACTGAACAGGCTCCATTTGGATTGCCATAGCAGTCACTAATTCAATTCTGTGACTCTTCCACTGCAGCCTAGCGACTATAGAACTCTGAACTAGGCAGAAGGAAAGGATGATGGAAAGCAATATCCCACAAAGACCCAAATGACATTTGAGAAAATGATCTCCTCCAGAAGCAAGAGCCACATGGCACGTCTGTGAGTCCCAGTACCTGCCAACCTGACGAAAACAGGCCAGTGGAGCCTACATCGTAACTTGTCGCTTTTGCTGCTGTGAACCATCTCATCTTCCCATCCTTTCAGAGAGACCTGAGACCATGAGGAGCAGCCTTACCCTGGTAGGCACCTTCTGGGCCTTCCTGTCCCTAGTTACTGCCGTGGCCAGTTCTGCCAGTTACTTCCTTCCCTATTGGCTGTTTGGATCACAGCTAGGAAAGCCAGTATCTTTCAGCACATTCAGGAGATGCAACTATCCGGTGAGGGGAGATGGGCACAATCTGATCATGGTGGAAGAATGTGGGCGCTATGCCAGCTTCACCGCCATACCAAGCCTGGCATGGCAGATGTGCACAGTGGTGACAGGTGCCGGCTGTGCTCTGCTGCTCCTGGTGGCATTGGCTGCTGTCCTAGGATGCTGCATGGAGGAACTCATCTCTAGAATGATGGGGCGTTGCATGGGAGCCGCACAGTTTGTAGGAGGTAAGACTGTCCCAGGGATTGAGGAGGTTGTGGAGATTTGGGGTGATGGAAGTAGGGAATATGGCAGTATGGGAAAATACACTCTCATCTCTTCTACTCTGAGTCCAAAGCTATGAATGAGAACTTTTTTGAAATTCATTGAGAATTCACAGCAAAATAAGATAGTAGACAGAGCTGATATCAATAGCTTTGTCTGCTTTTGTCACTTACGGGTTGTCCACTTAGTAATATTGTCTAAAATAGATGTCAAAGTAGAAGAGTAAAGAACTGTGATCAATAGAGTTAGAGTGCTAGAGATTGAATAATAGGCACCAAAATACAGTTGCATAGGAGCAATACATTCTATTTCTATAGCTAAATATGGAGACTGTAGTCAACAGTACTTCATTATATATATTTGAAATCTACAAACTAGAATGAGAAGAACCTTAGTTCTTCCAGTTATATGTCAATTAACAATAAAATAATACCAATCAGAAAATATATTTAATTATGTAGTTCACAGTTTAGTACACAGTTACAGTCTATGCAACAGAACACTTCTGAATGTAGAATTTTTTTAAAAGACTACTATCCATTCTGCCTTCCAATAACAGCATGATTGTCCAGTATAATATTACTGCTCCTGAATAAAGGTGATCTATATAAACTGTTTTCTTTGGTGGTTATCTCAGAGGACAATGATCAGATAAACATATACATAAGTGCTCAATACCTATTATTCCCACCAAAGAAATATACCTCTAATAGTAGTAAAAGGCTATTTATTTTCCAGACAGACTACACATGAATACTTTTTGGTCTATATCCAAGGCTAGCCCCATCTGGTAGCCATTAAATAAATTTACCCAGATTTCTTATGGCTCTGACCTACCCTATTTTGTTTTTGCTTTATTCAGGCTCCGCTTAATTTTCGTGCAGTCATCCTGGTTTGCAGGTAGCTGGACAGTGCTCTAAAAAAGAGCAAAATGCAAAGCTAGAAGACTACAAGAAGATGATGAGATTAGCTGAATTTGAACCAAGGATAAAGACTAAATTTAGATAGGTAAATGTACGTGAATATTTGTATTATTTCATATGTTTCCATGGGGCACTGGAAAAACTACTGTAGAACCTACTGCCGAAGTTTGTTGTTACAAGTTTTGGAGTCTTCATCCACTCCATTAACATCATTTCTATTAGTATAACAGTGTGGTAAGAAAGGTCAGGATGCTTAGATTCCAGTTGCTTTACGACATGGAGCAAATGATATGAATTTTTCTGTTTCACTTCCATTGAATATATCCCCTGGAAATATAATTCATATCTGCATTTCATTCTTCTCTCCAATGACTGACTGCATTTAGGTGGTCTTGGAGTAAGATGGTAGTGAATTTAAGCAGTTACTCTCAATGGAATCGTGATAGGAGTGAATTGGTTCTTCATCTTCTTTCCCACAGAGGGTATTTAGTTATGTCTGGAGAAATTTTGGTTATTAAAATTCAGAAAAAAGTGCCACTGAGAAGCACTTGGCTTTCTAGCTCCTTCTTGACTCAGATTCACTATAAACCTTTCACATATGTGTTATAGTTCTATTTGCTCATATGTCTTAATTTTTTTTTTACTTTTTTTTAAGCTAAAAGGTTTTCTAGAGACATCAAACATAGAATTTTGATTCCTCTTGCATGCCACGGTACCAAATACGTTGCTAGCACTGCTAGAAAGAAGTTACTTGATTTCTCTTGGAGAGTTCCATGAGTATCACAAATTAGCCTTTGACTCATTTTTAACCTATATTTGTGGGCATGCTAAAGTTAACCCAACATTTCCTTGAACATATTTCCTCAGCAAGTGAAAGTTGACTGATAAGAGAGAGAGTGATTGCTCTCTGCTGGGATAATGTGAACATGTGAGACTTGAGTTAGTTTCCATCTTTCCTTCTTTTCTAGATTTTTTCTTTGTGTTTGTTTTTAGAGACAGGGTTTCTCTTTGTAGCCCTGGCGGTCCTGGAATTACCTCTATAGACCAGGCTGGCCTCGAACTCACAGAGACCCACCTGCCTCTGCCTCCCGAATGTTGGGATTAAAGGCGTGAGCCATCACTGCCCTGCTGTTTTCTAGACTTTTATTTATGCCTATTATGTCCTGAGCAACCATCTCTTCTAACAGGAGACTGACAACTGAGCTCCACTTGCATCTCTAAGAGCATCCTGCTAAAAGTCAGGAGGCTGCAAGTGGCAGAAATCAGAAGGATGGTAGCAACAGCCCTTACAAAACTGCATTATTAGCTCCTTCTCCTCCAACCTTGCTTCCTCTTTGGAGCCCAACTGAGACTTTTATAACATTCGAGGTTCTCTGTATAATGCATCTTTACTGATCTCATCTACGAAATCTAGAAACTTGAAGAAAAAATTTGTGGCAAGATGTGGAATGATAATGGGGATTTTGACATGCCCAAGATGTCTAGAATAGAACTTTGGTGAGGTGACAAGTATCATTTGAAAGGAAGTCAAAAGTGAATCACATTTGGGCTTCAAATGATTCTGCCACCATATATTCCCTAAGACCCTGTTCATAGGGATGTAGTTATAGTGTTTACATCTAGTTGAGTATCTTTAAAATCAAGAATTAAGTGGCATCTACAATAGTCTTAGAAAGGGCAAATGGGACTAGATGAAATTTTAAAAAATTCTGCACAGCTAAACTATCATTTGAGTGATTAGAAAGCCTATAGGATAGGAGAAACTTTTTTGCCAGTTATTCTTCAGACAAGGAGTTACTATCTAGAGTACATGAAGAACTAAAAAAATGAAACACATGCACAGACACAAATAAACTGTGAATCAATAAATGGCCTAATGAAATGACCAGGAAGTTCTCAAAAGAAGAAATGTAAATGGCCAATGAATATTTTAAAGTAGTCAGCATCCTTAGCCATCAGAAAATGCAAATTAAAATTGATTTGGGAATCCATCTCACCCCATTGACAAAGGCTACCATCAAGAAAAATATGGTAATAAATGCTGATGAAGATGTGGGAAAATAACTCTTATTCATGGTTAGTAGGTGTTCAGACTGTTGAGACCACTATGGAAATAGCTTAGAGTTTTCTCAAAAAACAAAAGCAAACACACACACACACACACACACACACACACACACACACACACACACACACAAAACCAAACTGGTAATAAGAAATACCATATGATGTAGCTAAACTATTATTGAGTATATACCTACAGGACTATATTTCTACCACAGAAACACATAACCATCCTTGTTTGTTGCTGGTCTTCATGATCGCAAGAAAAAAAATCAACTCAGATTCTTATCAACAGATGAATTCATAATGAAAATATGGGTATGTAAACACAAAAATGATTCCACTGCACAGAAAAGTTAAATAATAAAATTTTCAGAAAATAGATGGATCTTGAATTTATGTTAAAGCAAGATAGCACAAATTCAGAGAGACAAATACTGAATGTTTTCTCATATGCAGATCCTAGCTTTTAATGCACATATGCACATTTGTGTGCATGCACACACACACACATCACATACACATGTATATCATGAAATGATGTCATGAGATGTAGATCATGAAAGAAGATGACAAGAAGGGTGAGTGTGGGAAAGAGGTGCTGAAAGAGGGAGGGAGAGCAATTGAACACGTGTGCCATGTGAGTGAACAGACTACTGGAGGTGGAAGGGTATATGGCTAGGAGTGGGTGGAGGAGAATAGTCTAAAAAGATCAACACGAATTATATTTGAAGACAACAGAATGAAACAGAATATGCTGTATGCTAGTTTAAGGGAAAAGGAGCAAGAGTGTGTTATCAGGATTATCCCCTGACAGTGGAATGATATTACAATAGACTGCTAGACTTCTATAGTTGCCCTGTCTGTAACTAGACAGGTAGCAGCCATCCAGGCCTCCTTTATAGACACTGATGACTTAAGTTAAGGTTGTATCCCATGTGAAGGGGATAGCTAAGAGTGTTTTGGATTACTAGAGTTTCTAGGTTTCACTTGGCATTTCACTACTCCTATGTCTCTTCAGAGCTCTTGGGTCAGGCCCTGAGAGAGAGAGAGAGAGAGAGAGAGAGAGAGAGAGAGAGAGAGAGAGAGAGAGAGAGAGAGAGAGGCTTCGTCAGCAGCAGGAAGCCAACTATGGGCCGCATTTAGAGCTCTGTGGCTAGTAGACAGATAAAGGAATAAATAAACAAATAAATAAGTAGAGAAAGAGCTGTGGGTATTCGATTTGCGCTTCTTGTTCAGCTAGGGGAAATTGATTTTGTTGCCCTAAGCCTGACTGCTTCTCGGCAGCTAGTGCATTAACCGAAATACATCAGGGGAGGAGCCAATTTGTTTCAGGTCTGGATTATCTCTGCCAGACCCCAAACCACTGAAGAGATGGAGGATCCATTAAGAAATACCTCCTCCCCCTGCCTGACTCTTGTTCCCTGGTCTGGCAGCTGCCCACAGAGATGAGTGGTGGGAAGCGGGGGAGACAGGAAGAAATAAAGAGCTGCTGGCCTGACTCATACTCAGCAAGGTGACCTGATGGGGCCCATGGGGCCCATTTGCTCCACCTGCAGCTAATCCAGCTGGCCAAGCTAGGGTCCAGAGAGCCTTCCACTGGGACCTCTGTGCCCTGTTCCAACCAGTGAAGGAAACATCTGGCCAGGAGATTATTTCAACACTGGGGATGCTGAGGTTTCCAACCAGCTGGGCCTCCATCCCCAAGAAAACGATCATTATTCACATTCCCCTGTGTATACATATGTAAGATGTTTGTGAATTATCCTTTCTCTTCAGCGAGAACTAAACAAAGAAAGAATAGGTGAGAAGTAAATATAAGGAACTTCTTGGCAGGAAAAAAAGTGTAAGATGTTGGATCAGGTTACTCGAGGTAAGCCAAGAATCTTTCTAGAACAGAAAATGTATTGGAATCACCTGGAATGCTTAAAAGAACATGAACTCTCCAGCTCTCCAGTTTTTTTTTTCCCATTTTG